GGCGCGGCAACAATATTGATTTGATGAAAGGAATTTTTGAAGGTGAAACAATCGCAATTCGCGTCTTTCTATTGCATGTCTCAATTACAAGAAAAATAGACTATATATAGACCATAGTTTGATTCGAAATAGGAAACCTATTTCTAGGAAACCTATTCTAATTAGGAAATCTAATTGACTTAGGAAACTTTCCTAAAATATAACTAGAAACAATATCTCACAATATCTCACAATATCTATCAAAATATGGAAATACGAACAGACTCAAAAAGGAAACAAATACTTTGGTTTAATTTCTAACACTCCCCCCTAAACCAAATTCTCTTCCATCGATCATTCCAAGCAAACTCTTGAACTTTCGAAAAGCATCGATCTTGAGAGGTTTAGTAAAAATATCTGATACTTGATCTCCGGTCTTCACATGCAATACTTCAACTTCATTCTCTTTAACCTGTTCTCGGATGAAGTGATATCGAACATCGATATGTTTACTTCGTTCATGAAAAACTGGATTTTTCGCCAAAGCAATAGCAGAAACATTATCAACAAAAATCTCCGTTGCTTTCTTCTGCTCCATAAGAATATCTTTGAGTAGTCTTCTCAACCATATTGCATGACAAACGCATGAAGATGCAGCTACATATTCAGCTTCACATGTCGACAGAGTAACACTTGATTGCTTCTTTGATGACCATGTGAAAGCAGTGTCGCACAAGAAAAATACAAATCCCGTGGTGCTTTTTCGATCGTCGATATCTCCGCCATAATCACTATCCGAATAAGCTCTAAGTTTGAAAGATTCAGAGCAATAATAGTGTAAACCATGAGAAATAGTACCTTTGATGTACCGAAGTATTCTCTTTGCAGCTTTAAGATGAGATGATTTCGGCTTCTCCATGTATCGACTAACAATTCCAACACTATACATAATATCCGGTCTCGTGCATGTCAAGTATCTCAAACTTCCAATCAAGCTTTTATAATATGTCGAATCAACATCGGCACCATCATCAAACTTCGAAAGCTTGGTTCCACACTCCATTGGTGTATTGACCGGCATACAGTTCTTCATGTTGAATTTTTCAAGGATATTTTCTGCATATCCTTTTTGGGAAATAAAAATCCCGTCGGCACTTTGCTTCACTTCGATACCAAGGAAATAATTCATGAGACCATTATCGGTAATCTCAAATTCTTTCACCATCGATGCCTTAAAAGCATCAATCATCGCCGAATTATTTCCTGTAAAAACAAGATCATCAACATATAAACAGGCGAGTAGAATATCACCTTTTTCTTGCTTCAAATAGAGTGCATGCTCGTATGGACATTGAGAGAATCCATTCGCCTTGAAATATGCATCAATTCTGGAATTCCATGCTCTCTGTGCTTGTTTAAGCCCATATAGAGCTTTCTTCAACCTTAGCACTTTGTCTTCATAACCTTTCACAACAAACCCCTTGGGTTGTTCGACATAAATTTCTTCTTCAAGGATGCCATTCAAGAATGCTGATTTGACATCCATTTGATAAATTCGCCAATTATTTGAGCAGCAATGGAAATAATCAATCTAATCGTTTCCATGCGGATGACAAGGGCAAAAACTTCATCATAGTCGATTCCGGCTTTTTGCTTGTACCCCTTCGCGACTAATCTAGCTTTGTACCTTGTTACTTCACCTTTCTCGTTCTTCTTGGCCTTGTACACCCATTTAACACCAATTGATTTCTTGTCCTTCGGAAGATTAGCAAGCTCCCATGTTTGATTTTTCTTGATGGCTTCAATTTCTTCGTTCATGGCTTTCCTCCACTTTTCTTCTTTGGCCGCATCATCATAAGCAAGTGGTTCATAATCTGCAAGAAGACATATAAGATGAAGCTCTTTGATAGCTTCGTAAATTTCAAACAATCTTCTTGATCTTGGCACTAGCGGTTCATCGACACTATTTGAAGAGGATGGTGTTGATGAACTTGAATAAGATGTTGGAGAAGAAGGTGAAGGTTGATCTTTCAACTCCGTTTGATCGGAATTTTCACGAACATTCGCGTCTTCTTTTAGATTTTCTTCCCACATTCCATCTTTATCGAATTTGACATCTCTACTTACATACACTTTCAAAGTGTTAGGGTCAAATAATCGATAGGCTTTGGATGATGAGTCATACCCGATAAAGATAAGCTTTTTGCTCTTGTCTTCAAGTTTCGATCTTTTTTTATCCGGGGCATGAGCATATGCAATGCTCCAAAAAATTCTCAAGTGCGAAACACTTGGTGTTCTCCCGGTCCATGCCTCTTGTGGAGTTACGCCTTCAAGTCCATATGTTGGACATCTATTTTGAAGATAGACGGCACACGAAACAGCTTCTGCCCAAAGTTCCTTGGACAAATTTTTGCTCTTCAACATGCTTCGAACCATATCAAGAATGGTTCTATTTTTCCGTTCAGCCACACCATTTTTTTTAGGAGAATATGGGGCCGTCAAGAAACGCCGAATACAATGATTTTCATAGAATTTGTTGAATATGGCTGAGGTGAATTCTCCACCACGATCAGTCCTCAAAGCCTTGATAAAATAGCCGCTTTCCTTTTCAGCCAGGTTCTTGAATTGTTTGAAAATATCAAACACTTCTGTCTTTTCTTTCAAAAAATACACCCAAGTTTTCCGAGTAAAATCATCAATAAAAGTAACAAAATATCGATGATTACCATATGAGTGAGGATTGATCGGGCCACACAAATCAGAATGAATCAACTCAAGCGGCTTCTTCGCTCGATAAGTCGCCTCCTTCAGAAAGCTAGTTCTGGAATGCTTGTCGATAACACACCCTTCACATAATTGATCGGGATGATCAATATGTGGTAAGCCATAAACCATCTTCTTGCGAGAAAGCAAATTGAGTCCGCCAAAATTGAGATGGCCAAATCTCAAATGCCACAACCATGAATGATCATCTACGCACGTCTTTAGACATCGAGACATCTCACTCTTTATATTAAGAATAAACATCCTGTTCTTCGACATCTTCACATTTGCAATCAATTTATTATTCCGATCTCTCAACATAAGATTAAGATCTCTCATATGAACAGTATAACCTTTCTCCAGAAGTTGTCCCAAACTCAAGATATTGCTTGACATTTTTGGAACATAATAAACATTAGTAATAAACTGACGTGCACCATTTTTTTAAGCGAATCAAAATTGTACATTTCCCTTCAACAAGAATTTTAGAGTTATCACCGAATGAGACATTCCCTTTAATTGTCTCATCTAACTCGGCAAACATCTCCTTTCTCCCACACATGTGATTACTTGCACCGGTATCCAAATACCACGTATCGCTTTGACCTTCTTCATATTTTTCGAATGCCAATAAGACAACTTGATCAGCATCATTCACCAAGTTCGCCTTTTCGTCTGCTCTGCTACTTTCTTTGTTCCAGCAATTAGAAGCATAATGGCCAAGTTTATTGCAATGATAACATCGGATTTTAGATTTATCATACCATTGGCTTGTCGAGTTCTTTCCTCTTCCACGAACACCTCTTTGGTACTGGTATCCTCCATCACTTCGAGCAGGATCTCCTCTGCTTTGTCCGCGACCTCTTTCTCGAAAGTGACCTTGGCCACGACCTCGATCACGATCTTGATTTGTCCCGCGATTTTGTACGGGATCTCTTCTTTGCTCCTTTTCATCTCATATGGTCAACTGCGTTTGGAGAACTTCCTCCACCGGTTCAATCTTTTTCTTTCTAAACCTTTCTTCATGGGCTTGTAATGAACCCATAAGTTCATCAACCGTCATGGCATCCAAGTCTTTGGATTCTTCGATTGCAACCGCAATATAATCATACTTCTTGTCTAAGGACCGAAGTATTTTCTCAACAACACGAACATCGGAAACTTCTTCTCCATTTCTTTTCATCTGATTAACAATTGCCAAAATTCTCGTGAAATAATCAGCAATCGATTCAGATTCTTTCATACGAATTACCTCGAATTCGCCTCTCAAGGTTTGAAGGCAAATCTTCTGAACTTTTTGAACTCCTTGGTGTGTGTTTTGAAGAATCTCCCATGCCTCTTTAGCGGTAGTAGCGTTCGAAACTTTTTCGAACATGGAATCATCTAACGCTTGATAGATGATCGACAGGGCATATTGATCTTTCGTTCGAACCTTCTCCAAGGTATTCCTCTGGTTCTGGTTCAACGTGGCTTCATCCTCTGGCTCATCATAGCCAGTGTTAACAAGTTCCCACACACCGTAGGTGCCGAGTAGAGCTTTCATTCTAACAGCCCAGTTACCATAATTTTCTTTGGTAATACGAGGGTATTGAAGAGGAAGCTGATTGTTCGTTGAGGCCATGATCACGAACCGTAAGCTCTGATACCAATTTGTTGAGCGTCAGAGGCGCGGCAACAATATTGATTTGATGAAAGGAATTTTTGAAGGTGAAACAATCGCAATTCGCGTCTTTCTATTGCATGTCTCAATTACAAGAGAAATAGACTATATATAGACCATAGTTTGATTCGAAATAGGAAACCTCTTTCTAGGAAACCTATTCTAATTAGGAAATCTAATTGACTTAGGAAACTTTCCTAAAATATAACTAGAAACAATATCTCATAATATCTATCAAAATATGGAAATACGAACAGACTCAAAAAGGAAACAAGTACTTTGGTTTAATTTCTAACAATTCGTGCCGGGGGGATTGAATGGTTTCCATACTCTATTGTACTCGTCGACGGGGAATCTTTAAAAAATCGATGATAAAACGTTAAACCTTAGAAAGCAAGAATCAAACTGACCATAAAGGATGATTTTGACGTTTCTTACCCAATGATCCAATTTTCCAAATCTTGATCTGAGCCCGCGCCATAATTGTACCGATAGCTGCTGAACCAAGCTACATCTTCAGTCATTCCATCGTACATGCCGTCATCCAAAGGCCATATCTCCAATGTGGAAATGAACGGAAATTGCTTGTCGAGCACTCTCACACGCTGACATTGTCTCTTTTGGCAGTGTAAATCAACTCGTTATATTGGAGCGGGCTGGCCAAAGTGACCGCCACGGTCGCCCATTTGTTCCCATCGAACTCCAAGTTGAAAGTCAGCGGTCTTGAGAGGTGGTCGTAGTTGCCATAGTAGAAAGCGGCTCTAATGAAATACTTTGTCCGCATCGGGGTCGGTAATGTGTAGCAGTTCTTGTTCTGTTGCGTGAAGGCACGGACATTGTTAAGCTCCTCTATTGTGGTGAGGCTGTTGTTCGAGACCTGTTCATTAGTGCCAGTTTGGATGTAATTTTCATCCGCGTGCCAGTAGCTTCCGTGCTCATCCGTATAGCTTAAATCGGCTCCGCAATCAATTCTCAGGAGGTTTGGTGTACCTGATATAGTATAGAACCACCGGAAAACAGAATGAACCTGCCAAATGACTAGGAACGACTAGACAGACATTATCCTAATTTGCAGACCGACAGATTACCGGAGAATTTCGCGAGTTATCGAAAAAATATCAAAGGGCAGCAAAAAGTTGCACAATGAACTCTTGTTGTCGCCAGGAAAAGTTTTACTAGCAAATCGATGAATTATACCTCGAGATAGTGTTATTACAGCAAAGAGAAGCAGGAACAACAGTGTACATGTATCCATCGACATCTTCCTCGTCTTCTTAATCAGTTGAAGTCCAAAAATTGAGGTGATACGCTTTCATATAATATTAAGCGTGTAGCTGTTCGGAAATTGCTCTCGTGCATGGTGTCTTCCGCAGATGGGTCTCAGTCTCACACGCCTAGATGAGATCGACCGTCAAGCAAAGACGTTTTGCAGTTTTCTGTTCGTCTGTTGCTCCATGATTTCACAGGAAACAACTGCAATTTAATGAATTGCTTCGCAATCAGTTGAACGTTAACGGAACTTGCAAGTTGGAGAAACAATGAGAAATTGTGGGAGAGCTTCCTCGCTAATTAAGTATTCTGTCCGACAAAAAAAAAAAAAGTATTCCGGGGGTGCCGGGAATGGACATTACGCTAAAAGCAACCTGTTTGACTTTTTTTTTTCTTGAGTAATGCCACGTAAATACACAGTTTTCAGTGAAAACTTTTCACAAAAAAGATTATGTAACTACTCGGCATCCGGGCTAATGGGCCCAAATAAGAAGCGGCTCTAAGCAGGCTTTAAGAATGGCGAAGGAAGCATGAATGAATCGAATTGCATACTGAACAGCTCGAAGATATACATGTGAAACTAAAATTAACTCACAAGATGTGTCTTTTGACGTAACCACAAAGCTTAATATTGGAACTCTAATGTTAAGCATGCTCAATAATGGAGAGTACTACCGGGATGGTGACCTTCTGAGAAAGTATTCACATATACGCCAAAGGATAAAATCGCGAGTCTCGGTATGGGACATTTCAAAGCGGATCAAATCTCGAGTGAGTTAATGCAAGGGTGTCACAATATAGTATTAAAGCGGGACCCCTCCAATTGGTGTGTGGTTTGTATGGATGAACCACTTGGAATTTGGTAGGCCTGTTACAACTCTGTCTGATAACGGCATGGAGTGTTCGTCAGGGCCAGATGGTCCAGATAAGGAGCGGCTTTTGGTAGGCTATGGCGAAAGGAGCATGGGCAAAGTGTTTTTGATATATGCATGTAAAATTGGAATAAACTCACAAGATACACCTTTTGACGTAACGGCAATACTTAGTATTAGAACTTCAATGTTAAGCGTGCTTAGGTGACCTTTTGAGAACGTGCTTACTTATACGCTATAGGAAAAAACTCGTATGAGACGGGTCAAAGTAGATAATAACTTGAGTGAGTTAATTCAAGGTGTCACAGATTAATATATAAAATCCTATGCATGAGATAAATTAGGTATCGTGTGTCGTTGGTCACTAATGCGGAGATAACAAATGATACTTATCCTTACTATTTTTCTCTTTACCACAACATTGACAGGTTTTAACCAACACAAACGCATACTGTGGCTAATGCAAAATGGAGGCACCGTTAACTTACCGTCGCATTTACTCATGAGTTGCAACAAATAATCAAAAGAATAAGGACCCAAAAAAATGGAGGGTTTCCGTAAGGTGTGGCCACACATTGACAGAAAAGAAAAGAAAAGTGAAGTTGATACTAACTAGGTTGATAATGCAGATTCTTCACATTCTGATTGGCAAATCTTTGGCAGCTTTTTTGTTCTCGTCTCTTTCGACCTCGTTACAAATCTAATGAGGATGGAAAGAAATGAACCTCGATCTGTGTCTAGGTCGAGATCTAATTTCGTCCAATCATCAATCTTAGACAGTTTTTTTTTTTTTTTTGACTCACGTAAGATACATTACACACCATCTTCTACAAACTTGGACAGTAGTTTCATGCTCCTGTTTCCCCTAATGTATGTCGCGACCTTACCTCGGGTGCACCAGTTTGGGTATACCAACTCCTAATTTTCCTATTCGATAAATGACTAAGTATGGTAGCCAAAATTTAGGTATCAATAATATAGCTCGAGCAGCTTCTCCATCTCCTTCTTGTCTAACCCTTAGTCCATTAATGCTTGGTCAGTGTCGCTGCTTGTAAATAAATAATGATGCCTGGCTAGTCTTTTAGACTTGGAAAAAGATTTGTGAGCATCGTTTGCTACATAAAACAATATCGGAACATGTTCGAAGAAGCTGCAGTGAACGGTTCCATAACTTGGAAGAAATAAATATTTGGAACTCTAAGGTCATCAAGTTAAGAATATCCTCTCTCTCTCACTTGTATAAAAGAAAAGGAGTATCAAGATATAAAGAGGAGATGCTGCTATGAATTCCTAAAGACTTTGGACAAGTTCAAGCTCTCATTGGAGTTCCAGCTCTCATCGAAGCGATATGAAGCTCATGTAGCTCTTCAAGCTCCCCCGTGTCAACTCCATGGATCATCAATGTTTGATCACCATTATCGTTACTGCTCACTGGGATGTCACCGTTTTGTGAGGGCATGACAGGAGTCTGTGCACTAACACTTTGGTGAGGATTTGCTTCTTGTTGTTGACCAGTGGTCGTGGCCTGTTCTTGTGTGGGCCTGGTATTGGGCCTGCGTAGTAACAAAAGGAGAATCAAGCCCGGTAGAGTCAAGCCTAAGGCCAGCCCAACTGGAAGCCCAATGAGCAAGCCCAGATTCTTCTTCTTCTTCTCCTTCGTTGCTTTGCCAGACGAGGCCGTGTAAATCACGATGCCACTGATGAATGGCGACGATGTGGAGTTACCATACGGTCGCAACTGGACATTCAAAGTGCCATTCGAGTGTACGCGCGCCTGTGCGACTGTACAGAACTCGTTGTTTATGGCAATGGTGGATATATGTTCACCATTCACGTAGAAACCGAATGTCCTCGTCTCGGACTCGTTGATATTGCTGGAGAAATAGGCCCTCACGTAGTGTTGGAGATCGTGGCTCCCGTTAAACGTGAAGGGCAAGTCGATCACGTCCATCGGATTTGGCGCTTCGACTGCTTGGTGAAGAACAGAGTCTGGCACTTCCTCTTCGCAAATAGAGTAGTAAGGAGGGATGCTTACCGCTTTCAGGCCAGCAGGAGTATTTGGTTCCCATATTTTATCTTCCATATCATCAGGATACCTATTGGAACAGAAGAATACCCGTGAAAATGACTAAGAATATGTAGCAATCACTAATAGATGTGTCGGATTCAAGATGAAGACGACGACATCTCACCCAAGAATCCAATCATCTCCATCTGCGCCATAACGGTAGCGGTAACTTGTGTGCCAAGTAGTGTTTTCCTCGTCTACAAAATCGTAGGGGTTGAATAACAGATACGACAGCGACCACAACTCCAAGACATTGATGAAGGGGAACTGCTTGTGCTTTGTTTGGACCAAGCAAACGCTGATGTTATCCTTTTTGGCATAGTAGAGCAGTTCATGGAACTGCGGTTCAGTGTTGGAGGTCATGACGGTAGCCCATTTCCTCCCCTCTAACTCCAAGTCGAAAGTAGGTGGGTCCGAGCGGCCATCGTAATTCCCGTAGTAAAAGGAAGCTCTGATCAAATATGTAACTTCTGCAAGAGAAGTAGAAGAAGCCTCTGCGGGCAGTGTGTAGCAGTTCCTGTTATGCTTTGTGAAGACTCGAAGCGTGTCGAGTTGCCTCGAATTGGGGGAGCTGTGAAGTTGGACGACTTTGTTGTCGCCTGTTTTGGTGTATCCCTTATCAACTTGCCAATAACGACTAGCGTCATGGTAGCTAGTTTGCGATCCGCAATCTATGCTCACACCTGTTGGTCACAAAATCATAGACAAAAGGAAACATTTGAGAAGATGCTACAGAAGCCGAATGGGAAATGCATTTCTATTACATCAGGTATCTCCAAATTGCTCAAGGCATCATTCACAGATTATCAAAATACTCAAAACAGAAAATCTAAGGTCTTTCCTGATATGCATTCTCTGATTTGAAGGGTCCATTCCGCGGGTAAGCGTTCGAAAAATCATAAAATCGCTCATGATCATTCTGAAATTGAAGCATAAATAACGCCATATGGGATAAGAACAGTGATGATGGATCACAGGCTGTTACCGAATTGAGAAAGAGCTTTTCCAAGCATGATCAGAACAACCGTCCACAACAAGAACAGTGACCCCATGGAGAAACAAGTCTCTGTAAATCTATATGGTCAATCCTAACTTAAAAGAAAAGGAAGCAGCCTTCATATATAAATTGATAATAATTGTAACTGATTTTTGCAATCTTTGATAACGGCGTTAAATTTTACCTGTTTATGTTTGTCTCTTCGCCTAAGAACTCCCTTTCTGGTCCTCATTGTCTTCTTCTTTTCGGCCATTCAGTGAAGAGCAAGCCTTCGGCAATCTGGACAAAATCCAATTTCATAACAAGAAAAAAGGAATTTCCCGGGATTAAACAGTCCATATTAACGAATTGCTCTGCAATCAGTTGGACGTTAACGGAATGAGAAATTGTGGGAGAGCTTCCTTGCTAAGTTAAGTAATCTGGGGGTGTAGGGAAAGGACATTACACTAGAGGCCAGCTGTTTGACTTCTTTTTTATTTTGAGTGATGCTACATGAATCGACAGGTTTTCAAATGCATAAAATCCTCTGTATGAGATAAATTACCTGTCAGCGACCATCAGTCACTAATGCGAAGACAACAAATGATGCCTATCCTTACTGTCTCTCTTTACCAGAAACATTGACATGTTCTGTCAATATGTTTTATCCAATATGAACGCATACCGGGGCTAAAGCAAAATGAAGGTACCATTAACATGAAGTCAAATTTACTCATGTGTTGCAACAAGTAATCACAAGGATAATGGTGCGAAGATGGAAGACTAAGATGCAGTGCAAAGGTTTGGCCACTCATTGATAGAAAAGAAAAAGGAGGCTGATACTGACTAGGTTGATCATGCAGAATTTTTCACATTTTGCTCAAGGACGTGTAGATTTCGACGGCACCGATAAATGGTGGCAACTTAGAATTACCTTTTGGGTGCACTTGAACGGCCAATGTACCATCCGAATGTACCTTATTTGCTTGCGCCCACGCACAGTACTCGCCGTTGTCCAGTAGAAATCGAATGTCCTCCTCACGGATTCATCGATCTCGATTAACTGGACCATCACA